AGTTACCCAAGAATATGCGGTATTTAAGACGTATTAGTTCTTATCTATATTATAGATCGTTGTTTGCTTATACCTTGTTGAAACTTTGAATGAGGAAAAACCAAAGTTAAGCAGACGTCAAGTTTTTGGTTGCAAAGCTTATATTCAGATCCCTAGTCAACAAAAGAAAAAATTCGATGCGTGCAGCTAGAAGTTCATAATGATTGCTTCACACACGTTATTATTTATGCGGAAAGCTTGTCTTCCTTATGTTTCTACACAAAAAAGAAATTTCTCGTCAATATCATGAGACAAGAGGAAAAGGGATATATCTGTAGTAATGGCGATATTGGAAGTGAGGATGCAAATAAGCAAGATGTTGTGAATATTATTAAACAAGATGCTGACGCTGTGGATGACGCTGCGTCTCATGATGAAAACGACATTGGCGAAATGAATAATCTCTTGAAAATAATGAACCGTAATGACTTAATAAAACGAAGTGATAGGATTCAAAATCCTTCTGTGTAATTATGGGTCAACAACCGTGTATCTACAATGCCTCAAACCATTTTTGGTAGGGAAGATTTCTCAAAGTGGTTGAAGACCATTGCGGATGGCCTGAACCTTATCCATTATATAACCTAAATTTTACATAAATTTGTAAAGTGAAAGCGTGATTCTATAATAACTTGAGCAAAAAGCAAATTCTGTTTAGTACAATCCGAACCGAGGCATGGATGGGAGAATTCCCATTACCAAGAAATTTTTTGCATATACGAATTCTATTGCTAGATTTTGAGTTCGAAAATTTATCACGCTATTTTAATTTTAATTATTGTATTAGTATTACTGAATACATCTTCACTTTTCCAACGATATATTAAGTATTTTATCAACTTAGTTGTCTCTATTTAGGTTAATGTTTGCAAGTTTCTTAACAGATAAAGTGCTTTATCGGCGGGATGTCTCTGGGCGTGTCGAAGTGAAAAATAAGGAGAGGAAAACAAGTAGTTGTGTCAACTCCGTATAGTTAATATCAGTTCGTAGGAGGTAGACTAGCGTTACGCGAATCCGTCAAGGTGTGCTGGCATTTATTCGAAGGAAAAGATGTAATGTTATGTTAGACGGTTATTTTAAAAATTAAATACTTCAAGAAATGTTCATGGAAAGTTTTACATAAATTCAGGCTTTGCATATTTGAATTGGCTTGTAAATAGGAATTTCATGTGCTGTTTAAAGAAAGTAAGATTTGCAAGTCTTTCTTTAGATTATCATAGAAGTTATACGCAACAAGGCTAAAGGTGATCCGGCCTGAGAACATGCGAGTTTTATTCGCGCATAAAAGTCCTTATTAATTGCTTAGAAATGTATGTTCGAAAATTTTCTGAAGGGCTTTCTTTATTTCCTTAAAAAAATCAACTTCAGCCCAAAGCCCATAGTTTTTTTTTTTTGTCTAAATACCCCATATTCACTCGGTAATAGAATTATTCAATCTTTCTAAGTCATTTTTATTAGTTTTTAATCAACTTTACGCTTCGACCAACAAAAATATTATATAAGAGGAAGAAAATAAAACGCTGTTACTTTTGAAGTAAAAATAATCTAGTAACATAAACGTGTCCAATACAAAAACACGGCAATTCCACAGATATGAGTAAGTGATAAAAGCGTTGACCAAGAGTCTTGAGTTAGCTTTGGCCAAATATAACAAAAGATCTACAAACTCGTACACTTGGATTTTGAGTAAGGGATAAAAAAGGACATCAAGGAAATCTTCAATTAAATTACGTTGTTGCAAAAATCGCATATATAACGAAACAAATCTTCATTCAAACTGCCTAGAGAAAAATAAATTTCCTAGAATGTTGGGAAATCGATAAAACCAGATAAAAGTCCTTGATGTTTTACCTGACGGTCTCGTAGCATAAAAACAACTTACGCAGCCGGTGACTAACAAGCAGAGTGACAAAAATTCCCAGGAAATCTGATATCTAAAAGCGATTAGCAAGAATAGCGACAGAAGAGGTAATTTTTAAGGCAAACAAAGTTTAAAAAGAGAAAGAAGGTTGAAGAGAAAAAGGAGATTGAACAGAGAGTGTGAATGCACTCAATAGTGCACTCAGAAGTGTTCTGAAATCCTAAAATTCTAGTTTCTGTAGAGACGCTTTTTTAAATTTTGTAAATAAAATTAAGGTCACTCATAACCCAATAGTATGAACCCAAATTTGGGAATGTTACGAAAACACATAAAATCGAAACGACATTTTAAGTAACATTGTGCGAACTTCCTTATACTTTAGTTGGATATCACCTCATTGGCAGTTTATTTTGTTCTAAGTATGCAAGGAATGTGCCCAATGCTTTGTGGTTTTATTTTTAGCGGAAGTAAAAAATCAAAACAGGCGAGAGCAAGATGGATCTAGTAAAAGTACACATTTGTGAAAGCATCTGGCAAAAGTAAAAAGAGATAAAATTCTTCAATTAGATGACACTTCAAAATAGAGGAAAACAAAGACAAATCAGTTACTTTTCATAAGTTACGTTAAAAATCGATGAGTAACAACAAGCGTCCAAAAAAGTTTAAATTGTAAACAAAAACGAAAACATTGAAACAACAAAGTAATCATTACGATTCATAATTAGACACTTTTGAACAAGCTCTTGGTAATTCCAGTCGCCCAAACACATTATATACGTAGCGTTTTTCCGATTTATATTGACTTACTAAGGCGACTCAAAAACGTTATATATGTGATGCTTTTGAATGATGTAAATAAACTATGCACGGTGCATATAAAAAATTATATTAACGAAAAATATGTTTTGAAACAATGGCGATATCGAGGACATGTTTGAGGGATACTGAATTGTCGGCTTTGCCAGCTATAATATCTTTCCTTATTTCTAAAAAATGTTTATGAGCTGTATGTCATAATATTTTAGTATCTATTCCGCCCATTTTTTTCAGGAAGGATGTTTACTCAAAACTTTAAGCTTGTATCTATTACAGGTCACAAATTACAATAATGTCAATCGTGGGTGGATCGTGCCCGCTTTCAAAATTTACATATGACCAATAATGAAGAATATATGCCATGCTTCAGTTTTCAATCTGAGTATTTGCGAACGTGTTTAAAAACAGCAGATGAACTTGGCTCAGAATATTACATATACCGTAAGGTATGTTACAAGGTTGCAAAAAAATTTAATGACTTCCCACAATAGTGAATATGAAAAATGCTGTTGTATGTGCTTTTATATTGACAATTTAATGATTTGGAAAAAACCAAAGTGGTTTCTATTTTTAGTATCAAACAGAAACTGTTACATTCATTAATTTGAAAGGAGTTTTGGTAAATATACAGTTTTAATAAGAAAAAATTCAGAAGTTCTGTTTTCAAAATATTTTCGTCAGTTTATTATTATTTTTTCCAAATGTTTTGCAGCATATTTTTTGGTGTCGTCATAGAAAAGAACTCACACAGATTAAAATAGCAGCGTGAAAAAATTCTTGAACAAAGAAGAGGAGGAGAACAGGAAGAAGTATTTTTATAAATATTTTAGTTCAAATTTAATCGAACACAATAGTTATGGTAGAAGTGTTGTTATCGCCGGTGCCACAATCGTACTCCACATAGTGTCCAACACGTCCCTTTGTTAATAGAACGCCCTATCCTTTATGTTGGGGTTACTTAGTCACGAGCTGTTATGGAAGCACGATGTTGTCGATAAAAAAGTGTTAAGTAAACGTAAGAAAATAAAAATTTGATTGCAATTAATAAACAAACTAACGTAATTAACTAGTAATTACTGATTAATATAAATGTACTCTATGTTAAAAAATTAAAAGTGTTACCGAACTTATAATAAACATTGACATTCAATTCAAAAATTGAGCTCTTTAGTTAATACAATACGTTTATGGAGATTTACAACAAACGGCAATATATTGGTTTTGTTATGGTGTTAAGAATGAGACTGGTGCTTCGTTACTCACATCTATATTTGATATTTCAAAGCTAGTTGATGGCATTAGAGATAATTTAAATTTTTTTTTTGTGATTCCACACAGGATTGAGTTTTGGAGGAGACTAACTGTAGTTTCATTTTGATTAAACCATAACCACTTTTTGCCCTTTCTTTAGAATGGACTTTCCTGAATTTTCGACGTACAACTCATTTCCTAAATATTAAGGTAATTCAGACTGGCACTTCATGTTGCCTTAAGACGTAATAGTTCTAAGCTCTTATTCATTATTCTGGGCAAACTTTTTTGTCGCGTTTCTTCATTTATTTTCATAAAATGTAAAGTATTATTACCATCAAGTTATTAATAACACATTAAAATGTTGCATATCAAGCACATTTGTTGAAAAGTTTTGTTATTTGTGCAAAAGACCATAAATTTTTTAGCGCACTTGCACATCTCAAGAGATCTAACAAAAATTAAAAAACAACATGTGAAGATATTCCGCATAACGTTTGTGATGTTTCTAAGAATAATGAAAAGAATTGCAAAGCAATTACATGCTCTTTAACGTCATGTTTCAATATAACACTATAGAAAATTAAGTACAATGAGATGAGAAAACACAAATGCGGAAACCCAAAACAGATTTCCCTCTTTCTAAAATTTGAAAATACTTTCGATATTCTATCATTAAGTTTAAAATATATACAACCGCCGTTTTTGTTACACAAATACATTTCACCGGCTTCAAATGTGTACGATTTTCCACAAAGGCAAATATATATTTCCTGGCCGTTTTAAAATCTGACGTTTGCAGTCACATCATAATAACCTCAAAAAAAAATTTTTTTTTATTCTATTTTCTTTTTGATAAGATATATATACATACATACATATATATGCCTTTTTTCAACCTTTTTTATGTGGCTTTCATTTATGTAAAAACATTCATGTAAAAGTAAAGCCACGTGAAAAAGCGGACTTCTGTATCTATCTACATATAAAGTTATACAATTATGTAATATGTAATGTATATTAAATTGAATAGGTAAAAACGGATCGGGTGCCTCTGAGACCAAACATTGGCAGGACATGATTTCGAAACCACGACAAACTATTGTTCAATGGCATCGCTTGAAGCCGGAATAAGGAAATGCTACCCACATATGTACCTGTGCACCCCATTTGAACGGCGAAAACTGCAGATTCATGTAGATCAATAAATATGTTGTTATATCAAAAAGAAGCCTGAAACAAACCAACACGGATCAGTTTTGTCATTACCATGTGCATATATGTATGTAACAATAATTTCAAAGAATTTAATAGTTTGCGCTTGTGCAACATAATTATACATATATCACACAAACACAAAACCACACAAACGAACAAGTTTATGTACATTAACTAAATTGGGAGTTATCACGTTTTGAATAAAAAAAAATATAATTTGTGTTTATATAAAAAATTTAAAAAGAACAATATTAAATAATAACGAAGAAGTTTTGGTTTTGGCGACGTTCAACGTTCGATACCCGCTAAACACGCATTCACATCTCTAAACTGTATCAATCTGATTCTTTTGAACCATGTAATGCAGATTACATCGCGGACATATAGAGACATAACAGTTAGATAAATAAATAACATTACAGTGCACCAGAATAATCATCGTTTTTTGTTCCGTCATTTTAAATACTAACTATTCTATTCGCGTGTTTTCTATAAATACCAAAGTTCATAGAAATGTGTACAAATATGTTCTCCTCAAGACAACCTATACGTAGATAAATGTGCATGTTCTTAACAAATGATGTTCAAAATTTAACTGGAAATAGAGTCAAGAATGAATGCAGCAAGCTTCATATAGCAAGTTGTGCGGCGACGTGGGCCTCTAGTCCGTGTAAACGGACAGTGAAACACATTTTTCACGAGTTTCGAGAACGCAAATCACGCTACCCTGTAAAGACGTTCAAAATAGTCGGCGAGTTCTTTATTTAAATTTTAGTTGCTTGTTGGCGTACAATAGAGAAAATGTACCCCATCTACCCACAGCCTACATTTCTATTATAGTAATGCAAACTAATTCAAATATCTGGAATGTGAAAGCAAAAGTTCATATTTTGCTTGTGCATGAACTAGTTTAGTTACTTAGTTGCTGAGTTGTGAATTAAGTTCAAAAGAAATAGCCTATTCAAAGAAGTTTTTGCAAAGAGATATTCGAAACTTACTTTTCTTTTCAACACCAGAAAGTCGTAACTACTTTACGTCAAAAAATTATACCGGCAATTTTTGTTAGCTTTATAGAGATATACGTTTTGTTATAAGATGTCACTTATTAGGGGATTTAATAAATACTTATGATCCGTCGTAAAGGGTAAAGCTTTCTTTCCAGATCCTTTTTATTTGAGATCTTGAAGCCTTATTTACAGGATTCAAATTAATTTAATATCTTTCTTAGTAAAATTCCAGCCAAGACTGAAAAATAATTCCAAGAATTCGCTAGAAGCAATCAAAATGTCAGCTCTGTGCGATACATGTTCTTCTGTATTTATTTAATAGATATTGATGTCTACTACTAGGTAACATTTCGCTTACCATTGGAGAAATGCCTGCAAAAAGTTTTTATTTATAACTTCGATTTTCGAAAAACTAAATAAACAAATTTCGCGCTGAAGAAAAGTACGTATGCGTTATCGACTATGTGACGAACGCATTCAGGTATTAACGAAAGATAGAATTATTATATTTCTGCCCTTTCTTACGGCAAGAAACCTGCCTTAAGCCTGCTACGATCGCTTATTAGTTATGATAGCTGTATTTGAATAAGTGATTTCACCTGTTTCAGGGTAAACAATAGGGAATAAACAAGAAGATCGCTAAAATTTTCTGTATCAAAGTATATTTTAATTTTTCTTAATATACGCTTTATCAAGCTCGTGATTTTCATTGCTTTATTAATAATATACTAGAAGGTGTATATTTCCATCATCTTAAATTCCCATTTATCACCATTTGCAAAATTCGTATAAAGCAAACATACGTAAATACGTGATTCTAGGTTTTCTTACTTAAAGATTTTCTGTGTGGATGTCTTCAAATTTTTGTGAAAACATTTTCATGAGTAAATCCGATGTCCGCAAGAATATTGAAAGAAACCACTTTAATTTTTTCACCACCATAACTACGAATTATAAACTAGAACTTAGTAACCGCTCTTAGGAATTTTTCAGCTTAGCGCAGAAGCAGTGAATTGAGATTCATTATTGTATCCGTTTAAGTATATTTTCCTGCCCACCCATCTGCCTGTATGATGTCTGCCAATATAATTTTCGGGATGTTACGATTAAGTTTGGTATACGGACCACTTCCAACATAAGCTCTTGAAAAGCGATTCGTGAAAGCATATTAATAATTTTCACATAATTTATTGTATATATGATATGATAAATCACAAAAAATTTGACAATAAATTATTCACGACGAAAGCTCTCAACAAGAATAAAGCGAAGGGGAGGTTGGCTGTTAGTATATACAGTGAACGGTTATGATTATAAAAGCAGCGTAAGATTCTTTTAAATATATGCGGATGTATTAATACTTAAAACAATATAATGAAAACCCACGTTTTATTATATCAACCGATTCAAAATTGTTTTCCGAGGCGATTTAAGCTTGCCCGCCCGTCCGATGTCTTTTCATGTATGTTAGTGTTCAACCTATAGGTAGCAGTTTGTAAGTTTTGACGAGATTTGATACACAGACGTGTTTTTATTCAATGGTGACTACTATTGGATCGGCCCATGTTTGTAGTCCCTCTTCATATAACGGGTACGTAAAAACGTTATGCAATTTGAAAACTTTCCCGACAAATTCGCAATTTCATCATACCAAATTGTTATGAAATATATAAACAAACTTGACCAACTCGTAAAACATCAGCACTTATAATGGATCTTACAAAAAATAAGCTTTTCTATGGCAAGAGGGTCTGATTATCAAAATTTTGTGGTAAAAAATTGGCGATAACAACAATTTGTATAAGGATTCCTATTAAAAGTAAGCTTCTATATGATAAAAAAGTCAAATCTTCACGAAAACAGGTGCAAAATAAATTCACCTTTGACAAAAAAATTAGTTCTGGTAAGTTTAGGTACCACGCCAGTTCCTGTTTTGGGCCCCTCTTAGGGGTTCCCATACATGGAAATGAGGAGAATGGAGAAAATTTGTGGCGTTAACTACTCAAGTTCAAGTATTATGCACATCGAAAGACAAAGAGGGGTTTTCTGTCCTTGGCAGTCTTAAATAAAAATGACCTGACTAACCTATCAAACTAACCAAATTCACTCAACTAAAGGGGCACTTTTGGTAAAAACTACCTCTTTTAAGCGCTGGGCAGAGAACAATTTGAAAATCTCATATGTAAGTGAACTTTTTTAAAAAAAAGCAGTCCCAAATGCATAGAAAAAGGTGGTTAAGATACATCCAAATATACGTACAGATCAATCCACACCTCTTTAAATATAGTACGCCGTATGTAGCCTAAAAAAATGAAGTCCTTAGAAGGACTAAATTTATATAAGCATTTCCTTGACTGAATGAACTGCATCGACTTTTAGGACTAATTATTACAAGGCGTACATTGCGTATACGTTTAAAATATTAAAAAAGACACTATGAGTAAGACGAAGTTGCGATAACACAATATTAAAAATAAAAAATGCCAAACACGCACGCGTACCAAAACATTAACGACACTCTCAGGCGAAAACGAAACTTTTCGATTTCAGTTAGTAAGCTAACACGCATATTTATAGGAGAAACTATTTTGGTTACAGTAAGTTTTCAGGCCTAAGCTCTGGTTGAGACATCTAGAAGAAACACACCAACAATTTATATAGATATACTCGTGGTTATATATTGACATAAAATTAAATTTTTTGCATATTATTATCTAGTTGACGTATAACCAAGGTGTAAAAAAAAATGCAAAATGAATTATAAGTTATCCAAAACGACAAGAAATAAATGTTATAAGTGAGAAAAGTAACAGACGTTTATTGTTAGTCGTTGGTAACTGTATAACAAAACAGATATGATGTCTACATAAAGGCAGAAGAATAGATCCAGTATATGCTGGCTTTCAATCTTCTTATCTCATCTAGAAGTGATATTGTCAAAGGATTTCTGTAATATTTTCAAGAAATGCATTGAATAGTTATAGAATATTGGGTTTAAAACAAGTCCTTCAACTTCAATTTATATTACATTTATCATTTTCAATTTTAGTATGGACAAGTTTGTTTGAAGTTGGGAGAAATTGAGAACTACTCCCTCATACTACAGTTTATCGAGCGTCTATCCAAATCGTGATATACACCACCGGAGTAACTTTGCTTAATGTAGTCAGTTGTATTTCTTAATCTGAACTGGCAGTCAGTTATAATAAATTTTTGTTCTAGAACTTACAGGTGGTCTTCGCCGATATACTTAATCGAATACTTTACAAAACGTATGCAGTAAACTAATTGGTTTATACGAACTCACATCATTTTCTGGCTTATTTGAGTTACCCACCATACTTCTCTCTGGGCATTTTCAATGAACTCAAATGAACTCACCTTCTTTTATTTATGATTAAATACCTCACTTTCAAGCTAACGCACTTGCCGTAATATCTTAACTTTTTAAGATTTTTTGCAGTAAAAATAAAACAGCAGATTCGGGTAAAAATTTTCGCTCCAGTCTCTAAATGTCTCAATATTGAATCCATATTAATAACAGAAGCTCTAAAGGCACTCGAAAGTTTTCTATCCAATAGAAGATTTCACTAGAATCGCGTGGCTGTCATAAACTGTGTCGTTACAAGCTGTTAAGTTCTCATGAAATTATATAGATTGATTTTGAAATGAGAACAACTGAATTAAGTGTCTGATATAAGAAGAATATAGACAAAATTTTGATGATGACTGGAAAGCCCATTCGAATACTATATTTTACATTCATAATTTAAAGAGTGAGAGCTTTATCGTATTCATAAGAGTAATTCTCGTCTAAATCTGCTTTTAAGACTACGATTTTTTAATACATCAGATTAGAATGTTTTACCTTCAGTTATATCATTAACATTATGTGTAATTAGATGTAAACGACAGGGTGTACCGAATAGCCTTTGTAATTGGTCGCTTGATTTTGCTAACGATTACCATATTTTGGAGGAGGATCGCTATTTTTAGTGTAGCATCTAGTGATATGTTCCAAACCACATTCTACGCATTTCGCTTGCTTTGTGTGAGAGTGTGCAAAACTTTCACACCAATGCCTTTGGTTTCTATCTATGGGTTTTGTTAGCTTTTTTTCTAACTCGACTTGGTACGCATTTTTAGTCAATATATTGAAAATATCCGGCGCCTTTAGTCCCAGTGTTTCACCCCCGAATTTAATGTAAGCAATGAAAGAAGGTTATGAAATAATGAAGGTTTTCGAACAGCAGCCTTTCTGCTCTGCCTTGCTTAATGTGGTAGAGGTTTATTATTTTAATGTTAGGATGCGACAGACATCGTGAATATTTCAGTTTGAGCGTCGTTTATAGTTTTACACTCGAACCAATTAGCAGTGATAAAGGTTAAAAAATTCCTTATCACCCATTTTATATCACACATGTAAGCTAGAATTGATATAATTTCCTTTTGAGAAAAACTGGTTTACTAACTGAGTTTATTCTTCTGGCCATATATATATGATAACTGCCAATTTATTACATTAATGTCTAAATCGAAGTCTTTCATCGAAAATTCATGTAGTTCCTGGGACTTATTGATTCTTTAATATTAACTTCTGACTCATTAACAATTGTTCTGCCGTTACGCTTGGGCCAAGCCAAAACACACAATTCTCAAAGAAATTTTGGGAAACTCTGCTGGAAAAAGTTTAATATTTACACCCACCACTGAAAGATGAGAGGTATATTCATTTCGCCAAAACGTAGCGTTTGTTATGCAGAAGGAAATTTTAGACACCTTATAAAGTATAATGTTTTTGTTCAGCATAATCTGAATCAATTTATCGCATCCTATCTTCACAATGTCTACTGTAAACATCATTCTAACTACAAAAATGAACTTATCTACAGCAATACCCGGGCAAAAATGCAAAAATTCGTTCGCGGTTGCGCAATATTATCGTATGTAAAATTTTCATTTTGCGTCAGAATTTTTATCACGTCAGAAAAAAGCTTCAAAATAGTGCATATCACAAGATATGATATAGCACGACGTGTTATCAGAAGGTCAGTTTATATCATTCAAGGGATAAGGGCCACTTCTTAACCCTCTTCTTCCTTTATGATAATTGCGAGCTCGTCAAATGCTGTCGTATTTGATGTATCGCTTTGTCAGGCTAACTGCTATATGTATGAAGTTTTACTTTTAAGACTTTCCTTATAAAATTATATAAAAATTTTTCACTTCTTTTGAAGAGAATTTAATTAAGATTAATAGTTTTGAATAAAGTTGACAGGTGTTAAAATTTGCTTTATGCTTTTGATATAAAGACCCCTAAAGACCCCTTTGAAAATGTATTCTAGAAGATATCCACTTCTGAAATTGTCGTTGCAACTATCACAATGTATGGTGAGCATTGGCATCACAAGCGAATATCCAGCCCAATGCCCGGGACTGGCAGTAGTGGAGCAGCCACCGTATATCTGTTGCAGGTACTTCTACCTCCCATGGAAGGTATGTGTAGGATACAGTAACTCGAAAGTGGGAAGAAGATCACGTTATTGCCAATGCGCAGGGCGACTCGAAAATGTCCGTGTTAGGCATTATGAACCAACTTACCATTATGAACTTACCTACTTAGTTATGTTCCACAGGCCTTAGATTGTGCCCGCATTTACCACAGGCTTCTAGACGAGGACCACGCTCAGACACTCGTTTGCGAATTTTTTACTAAGAACCAAAGAAGCGACTTTAGCGTTCCTTGAAGATTATCTAATTTTTTGGAGTTGTTGCTTCCCGGTTCGTTGCCATCCGGGACCTTGGGGGTTCACTGTTGGAAGCTTTTACAAAGTCTTGGGCCCTTTTATGGCTGCTTTAGTCGGTAAGGTGTTGGTCCCTACTAGAGGTGAATAACTCTTCCCGGCAGCCGTCAGTGGAACTGATCCAAAGACGTAGCCAGCGATGTGTCCGCTTTGTTTAGCTCTAACACCGAGA